ATGATCATTAAATTATCCCATTGAAAATATTTCTTTCTTTCAATAAAAGAATGAAATTAAGTATCTTACCTTACAAATGTAATTACTTAAAAATGAATGCAAATTTTCAAGTGACTTCTAAGAAAAAAAATGTAAGAATATCTTTTGTACGTAAAAACCCATATTTCCTCCTCTTGCTTTCCCTTTATCTCTTCCATTGTCTCTCCTATCTCTTCCCCTTTCCCACGTGTGTCAGAGAATCTAATATCGATGAGCCAACTAATAGGAATTTCTCTCTTCATCTTCCCTCCCGTCATTTCTCCTATTAATTGGGAAAGTAAGATCAATTCCTGAAATTCATAAGTTAACAGGGACAAACTTTAAAAAATTCAAAGTGGTGAGTAAATAATTTTCTTTTAAATTTATCTAAATTTGATAGTTAGGATTGACGTTTCATCTTTTTCCTTTTTTCAAAATATTCTATAACTTTAGATTGTGATGGTGTAATTAATTATATTATGAATTTAGTTTCCAAATTTTGTATAACACATGTGCATGCTCTATTCAAGTTAGGTTTGAAATTGTCGTATCTTTGTCAAAGGTTGAGATCAATTTGTAAAGAGCTCAAGGATAAATGCAACAGTTATGTATATCTTAGAAAAGTATTGCACGTATAATAGTGACAAACGAGTTTTATGTAATTGACAAAATGGATGTTGGATATCAATGTGAGAAGTCATAAAAATCAAAGAAAAAAATGGAAAAAGAAAAGTTCACACCCTGTGGCTAAAGCTAGAGTATGAAATATGAATATTCAGTACTACAGCAGCACAACACGTGCACGGATGAAAAGGTTATGATATAATCAAAACATAATATTATTACAAGATTTTAATGTTGTTGGATTATATATGGCAAGAAAAATATATTAAATTTATTAATAGTTAAATACATAAATTAAGTATATGGTTCAATTTTTAAAATTACTATTAACTCTTAAAAAAATTATTATATCAAACTAGTGTATGAGACCTTAAAATTGTTTAAATTAATTAATTCTTAAATGTGAAAAAATTAATTAAAAAATAACTTAATTATATCGACTAAGTCATCTACCTCAACGCCAATGGACTTCTCATTATCGCGGTCTCGGCATGTGTATAATTTCATCAAATTTATCCCATTTTATGAACGTCAAGAATTACATTCCAGTAAAAATTTTGTTTACAACCTTCAAGAGATGTCAACAGAAAACAAAACGCTTAAATGACCGCCTCCATTCTGCCTTTACCTGCAAAATGGTTAAGCTAAGAAATACAAATGGAAACCAAAACAACCGCCGTACAAAACGCTATGGCCTTTTTCTTTAATTTAAAAAGGAGGTACATAACACTAATAATTTATTGATTTGGGTAAAAGAAAATTTAATCTCCTCATTAATAAGGATAATTCTATTACAGTTCTCTCTCTGTAATAATGAGAGCCTTTCTCTTTAGAAAGTAACTAAATATTACTAATTTAAACAATGCAATGTATTTTTTTGAAGAGTAATGATTTGTGGGATGAAATTGGAGAGCGAAATTGGGGGACGACAAGTGAAGCAGGTTAAATTGATAATTTTGTATCCTGACTAGCTTCACTTGTCGTCCCCCATTTCGCCCCCCAATTTCGTCCCGTAAATCATTACTCTTTTTTGAAAATACTTCTAGATTTTCAGGTATCAAAGTAATTCAAGATCTTAATAGTGCAATAACTCATAA